TTCTCTAAGTATTCTTCTTCTCCTCGACTTAAGTGCAGCATTCGATACTGTTAATCATGATGTTCTCATTTCTCGTCTTTTCTCTAATGGTATCACTGACACAGCCTTACAGCGTATCTTACAGACAGACAGCAGTTTACCACACTAGGTCCACACAAGTCCTCCACCTCTCCTGTTACATGTGGTGTCCCTCAGGGCTCAGTTCTTGGACCCCTACTTTTCTTAATCTACATCTCACCCCTTGGCCAGATCATTCGTAGCCATGGCCTTAACTTTCACTGTTATGCTGATATTCAGTTATATCTCAGTACATACACACCCTCAGATTCCCCTCCCAATACACTAATGGATTGTATTTCTGATTTAAAGCTCTGGATGTACAATAACTTTCTCATGCTAAACACAGATAAAACTGAAGTCTTACTGGTTGGCCCTAAACCTTTACTATCAAAATCGTCCAATTTTTTCAGTTAGTATTGATGGCCTGCTCGTTAAGCCTGCACCTGTTGTTAGAAATCTTGGTGTTTTACTCGACCCATCACTTCATTTTGATCTGCACATCAAGTTCCTCACTAAGACTTCATTCTTATCGTTTACGTAACATTGCTGGTCTTCGCCTGTTTCTGACTGATAATGATGCCAAAACTTTGGTTCATGCCTTCATTATGTCCTGTATTGACTACTGTAACTGCCTCTTTGTTGGTCTCCCTGTGAAGTCTATACAAAAGCTACGTACATTCAGAACTCTGCAGCTAGAGTTCTCACCCAAACTAAGCTTTCAGCTCACATCACATCATCTCTTTCAGCTACACTGGCTTCCAGTCCTGTCCCATATAAAGTTTAAAATTTTACTACTCACTTTCAAAGCCCTGCATAACCTTGCTCCCCCCTTGCTACCTCAGAGAACTGCTGACCTCTTACTCTCCCTCTCACTCTCTCAGGAGGAACGTAGATGAGTGTAACTTTTTCTCTGTTACACTCATCTACGTTCCTCCCGTTAGATTTTTAAATATTTTTTTCAATTCAACACATTTTTTATGTGCTTCAATTAAACGTGTCTTAGATCGCTTTGTTCAAAAATCAAAACCAATTAAAAACTTCTTGCATGACTGACCAAACAAAATATTAAACTTTGTTCTTCAACAGAGGGTTCATCCCAACAAACTGAAGACATATACTCACTTAACAGAGTCTAGAAAGCGATAATCATCATCAGCTATAGAACCCTCTGTGAAGAGCGCCAAGGTCACAAGTGCTTTTTTCCTCTCTCCCAAACATAACACAGGCAACGGAACATAAGTTATTAGATAAGCCTGTATATAGGCTGTATATAAGGCTGTGATTTTCTATTTTTTTTATTTTGATTATTAATGGAGATCTCACTGCTTGCATAGTCTTTTCACTAGATACTTTCTTATTTTTACTTAAGTGTTAATTTAAATGACTACTTTTGCTTCTACTTGAGTAATTATTATTTTAAATTAACAATACTTTTACTTGAATTCAGTTTTTGGCTACTTTATGCACCTCTGTTTTTCTCAAAGCTCTACAGAATCAGAATCTCCACTGTGATATACAGAATGTTTCTCGCTCACTCTGCAATCATCATGTACATTATTACAAAACTATTTCTACGCATTTTTGCACCAAGTAGTTTATTTCTGCTATTTCTTTCTTTTGATTCTTTCCTCCTTTCTATTTCTACAGTGCTGCAAATGCTTGCCACTAGTAAAGCTAACTGGTATGCATTGCAGTACATTTGGTAGTACATTGTAATACAATCTCTTTTATATTAAACCATTGTTAACCATCAATATCTTTCCTCTGCATCATACAATATCATGATATATGATTTGAAGAGTAAGTGATGTAACACTTGACTATAAGACTTACAAAAAGGACTAGCTGATTATATGAAAAAGGTCCCTAAAGAGAGTTGTGTTTAGAGATACATTAAGGCCAACATATGTATCATGCCAAGTGTGACCACACTACTGGTGGATCAGTAAGATCTGTTATTGTGTCAAATAGTATAAAAAATAGTTCAAAAAGCACTTTACTCCCGATAGATTGTCAAGAAAAAAATTACTGATACCTAAATGTAGAATGAGCTTAAGTGATATGATGGCTAAGTCCCTTTTAGTACTCCATACATGTGTAAAACATTATACTTTTAATGAAAAATGTGTACCTGTTAAGCCTCATTTATACTCCCTTTATGTATAAAAAGGAATATGTCCATTTCAAACGATGTAACCCTCACTGCCCACATATGCCCACATGCATCCTTTATGTTGGCATGGATCTTAAGCAAAATGGCCACTAGAGGGCAGTCAAAAGTTTCTGACAACAACAAATATGGCAACAGTGGATGAAGTCATAACAATGTACCTACTATGAAAGAGATGAAAGAGGCAGTATTGTAGATGGCAGTAGTCTGTGAGTCCATTAAATACTTCATTTATTCCTAAAATAAGGAATCTAAAATAAGAGCTTCAAAATCATTTTGATGGTACACTGACTAAAAAATAGGGAGAATTGCATCTCTGTCTTTGCCATCGCAGGCCTGTAACACCTACTATAGCACTATGTAACTTTGGAGGAACGGGCACGAAACCTCTTGCGACAACTGCATAATGCTTTGTGGCACCACATCACACATCAGCAACTACAGCTCTTCATCTAGCTAGATGTAGTTTGGTATTCCCAGCATGGACATTGTTGGAGAAAATGAGGAAGAGACAAAGAGAGAGTGACCAAGCAAGAGACTGCACCAGAGTAAATCTTGGACTGGCTTTTACTCATTGTTGTGAGCTAAACGAGATGCAAGACAATCTCACAGCTAATGGTAAAACAACAAAAATCCGACAGCACAGTATACATCCCTGCCAGTGTGATTTAGGAAAGATTGCTCTGTAGACTGTAACCTTATTCCCAGCAGAATCTGACTCCCCTGCATGTACACATGGAAGGTGGGCATATGGATGCTACAGATTACACTCGTGGTTTGTAATTATAACAGTGGCATAAAAGTAAAATATAATCTGAAACTGTAGGGGGAGTCCAAGAGCAACAATTACCATTTCACTTTAATTACTTGATATTTTTTATTAGCATCTAAAACAGTGTTTCCCAAAATAAGTCCAAGGACGCTATGCTCTGCACTTATTTGTGCTTTGCCTACTTTAAAGGGGCTTTCCAGCTGCAAACTAGAGTTTAGTGTGTTATTGGTTGTTGTATGCAGTATTCTGTAGCTCAGCATTACATCCCTCAGCTTCATTGCTCTGACAACCCACTCTAAAACAATTTTTTCAAAAGTTCCTCCCACCTTCAAAATGCATCATCAGAAAGTGTATTTACTAGTCTTTCAACCAGAAAATCTTTCACTAGAGCAGAAGCCAAATTTTTGTCTTAGGGGCCAAAGTTTTGGCAGATGGCAAAGAATTTAAGAGTTCAATAAATTAAATTGCATACAGTATAATATATATTTGTTCTATTGGGTGAGGAGGCAGAAATACTGAAGGTTCATTGGACTAGTAGAGACCTACAGCACCACTGTAAGAAGAACAGGTGTAGCAATGGTTAAATGCATAATTTTTTCAATAATCTTTTAACACACGACCTTATTAATTAGTTAATAAGCTGAATCAGGTATGTGAGATGGGGGAAAGCACAAAACGTAAATAGTGTGGGAGGAACAAGGAATGAAAAAACGACACATAGAGGAATGCGGGTCAATTTGACTGTGGATTAAAGATTGGGGACCTGCCCTGAGTGAGTACATACAGGCTTTTTTAGGTGAATGCTGGGAGCCGACTTGCATTGAAGAGCTTATTTTTTGTTATAAAACAAAACAAACTGGTAGATCTAATGACAAGATACCATCCTAGACCTCCTTGGAACGTTGCGGCTTCTCTTCATTATCACATGCACATGTTACTTGTTGTGTTAGTTTGTCTCTTGTTTCCTCACATAATTCTTAGCTTTTGTCCTGCTTTGGTTTGGTGATGGCTGCTTGATGGACTGGGCTGCAGTTTGTCCTTCTGCCTATCTGGTGATCCCTGCCTCTTGAAATTCATCCATACTTCTCTGACTAACTATTTTGTTTTCAATAAACAAATGAAAGAAAAATGATACACAACAGTGCTAAGTAACTGTAGGAATAAAAAAGACAGTGATGCTGATGTGGTTGTAAGCTGAGATGTTGTGAGATGAGAAAATCGATGTGTTGATGTGTTACAGTTTTTAATGTTGAGGTGGTGCTCTTCATGGGCAAAAACACCTTTCCCTGTGTACAGCTCCCCACGGTACCAACAACATACGCATTTCCTTCCCCAACCAGCCAGCCTGACCACATGACCACAGCATATTACCCAGTCAGCATAGCTCACTGATTTGAGCAGCACGGGTCACTATTACTTAAAACAATGACAGACCCAAGATTATAATTGCAACATATGATTAAAATATTGCACAACAACATCTATCATAATAAACAAACTATTTGTCTGGTTAAGCGCTTCAAATCATTAGGAAGGCAGCACGATTTCCTGCGACTCTGAGCTGATGTGTGCAGCAAAAAGGCCACATATATACTTGAGGCCTGTTTTCACACCTCTGTGCTTAAAAGGTCCTCTGACGTTATTTCCTGTCCAGCTTTGTTTTCATTAATGAACTCCAGTTAACACTGCAGATTCTGTACTGAAGGTTTAGTAGAGTATTAGAGAAACAGAGAGAGAGAGAGAGAGAGAGAGAGAATGGCAGAAGGAATCTATGATAATGTGAGCAGTGTTGAGCTGAGTGAAGCAGACAGAGGAGAGAGAGTGGAGGAGACGGTGGAGATTTATATGAGTGCAGACGCTGTTAGAGCTCAGGAGACCAACACACAGAGGGAGACAACAACTCAGCAGACAGGTAGAGTAACTCTCAGTGCACAAACTCTGACACAATGAAAACTGTGTTCACAATGAAACCTTCTAAGTCAGTTCACTCTTTATCAGATGTTAGAACAGGAATCAGATGTTCCAGACTGGCTGTGGTGTGTGTGGGGCTGCTCTGTGTTCTCCTGCTGACCACCAACATAGTGCTGTACATGTACTGTGAGTATTTCAGCCTTAATCCTTTAAAAAGCCAGCCCTTTTTTCCCATTTTCTGCCTGAAATTACACACCCAAATATTGAGGCTTTTTACTCAAGCAGTACATAAACTAGAAAGACTTCTATGCTGTAATGTTACTGAAAAGTGAAAACTTGTAATTGAAAACATTACAGGTTCTTTTAAATATCTTTAAATGATCAAAATATGATGAGAACAAAAAAAAAATTAGGCACTTTCCTAAATTTAATTTTATAAATTATATTTTAGTGCCTACAAATTAAAGAGTTCATGTCCCCCAACGCTTTCTGCTTTTAAAGCTTGTGTCACCAGGGTCTACTTTCACCATGCAAAATTGGGAGTTGATTTCTCCTACTGATTTGAAGTTACTCAAGCTAATTTAAACTGTCCTGCTCCCCTAGTGGCCTCTCCAAGTGGCCTTTTTGACTTTTCCAATTGGTGTTTTGGGAAAGTCCCCCAGCCCCATTTTAAGCGGCGCAACTTTTCTAGCCTTTATGGTATCGCTTTAGCAGCACAGGAGCAGACCAATTGCATGAGTTGTAAATATCACACGTGAAACTACTCAGCCAATCAGATCTGTGCATTATGATGAGCACTGAGATTCGAGTGAAAAACAGCAGTCTGAGGAGAAAGTGAGCCAGAGGAAAGCTAATTTGCATGGCGTGCTCTAAAAGGAGAAAACTAACAATAAATGTTGTTGAAATATTACTGAATTGTACTTTATTTGATTTGACATTCAGTTGTCAACTACATAAGATGTTGATAAACCGGCTACTTCAGTATACAGTATATGGCACTGAATCATGATGTCGTTGGACATTATGATGTTCCGGCCCTCTGCTTTGAGCATATATTCTCTAACTGGACCTTACTGAATTTTAATTAAAGACCCCTGCTTTAGAGTCTCAGCTTTCCATTGATATGTGTTTCGAAACGGATTGAAGGAAAGACACATTTGGATTCATTTGAAAGCTGACAACTTAATATAGGTGCTGGTATGAAGTGTTTGTGTGTGAGACGTACCTGTGAGTGGCAGCAGCCATTACACACCAGTGCTCCTGTGTTGTGACGGCAGAATCGCTTGTTTGGAATAACTTTTTTTTTGGATTTTAATTCGACAGTCGTTGGCCAAAAATTGGCTTTATGAAACATACGAACGTACATACTGTACTTAATATTTTTTCCTAAAAACTTTCGTGGCAAGGAATTTTGTGATCAAAATATTTATTTTTCTAATGTAATTAAAGAAAAAATGGCACAATGGATAGAGAGTTTAAGCTTTAATATGGTACCTTGGTTGCCTATATTGGATCTGTAATGTTTCACATATATTGTTGTACATAGGATAAGATTGTTTCTGGCCTGACGGCTGGCCAAGGCTTTTTCCTCTTTCAAATACAGATATGTGGAATACTTAAACCATAATATAAAAACTGTAATTCTGTCTGAATGTAGATATTAATATGAATAAAGGACCAAACCAGACTGAGACCCTCTTATCCAGTATCAGAAACCTGACTGAAGAAAGAGACCAGCTAAAGAGCAGCTACCAGAATCTGACTGAGAAAAACATCATCTTACAAACCAAATATGATCTGTTAGTGAAGCTGATTGGTGAGTGAAACATCATCCTCACAGTTAGTAGGTACAAATATTCCTTCACGCTTCTAAAATATGTTTGTTCTCTTTGTTCTGTTGTAAAGAATGGAAAAAGAACAGAAGCAGCTTTTACTTCTTCTCCACTGAGAAGAAGAGCTGGAGTGAGAGCAGGCAGGACTGCAGAGAGAGAGGAGCAGATCTGGTGATCATAAACAGCAGAGAGGAGCAGGTGAGAAGAGAGGGCGAGAGAGAGTGTCGGGACCAAGAGCTATCGCCTTCAACCCCAGGCCTCCAACAAAATAAAAGAAACCTCTTAATACTGGCTAAACACTCACAAATAACTGTCTTAAGTCTAAGTTCTCAAAAGATGTCAAAAAGAAAAAAAAAGACTTCAGACGCTGAGTTTGTGGAAAGAGAAAAGGCTTCTTTATTTCAGCATCGATGACACGCTGGTCTCCGGAGACCGACTGCTCGATACAGTGTCCGGACCACACCTTATATACCCTTATCTGGGGTGTTATGATGTCACCTCAAACTTGATGTTCCATTATTCTCTATTCATTAACTTCCCTCAACACTTGGCCTCCCTTAAGTTCACTGTGTACAACACGTCTTTGTTTAAAAAAGCTGGTTTGATGGCTCCCGAGTGGCGCAACCGTCTAAGCGTTGGCCCTATCATCAGGAGACCGCGAGATTGATTCCTGGTGATGCTACAGCCATCCGTAGCCGGGAGTCCAAGAGAGCACAATTGGCCTCGCTCTCTCTGGGTGGGTAGGATGGCCCCTCCTTCCCCCATCACTTAACGCGATGCTAGTCAGCGCAGGCGTCTGTTAGCTGACGTAACAGATGTGGCGGTTGGCGCTTTCCTCCGAGCGCGTTCGGCTGTCCAGTGACGTTGCGTGAGCGGCAGCTCGAAAAGAAGCGGTGGTTGGCTTCACAGGTCTCGGAGGAAGCCAGTGCTAGCCTTCACCCTCCTAGCGTTGATAGTATCGTGTGATTGGGGGAGTCCTAACTAGCGGGTGGAATTGGAGACGACTAAATTGGGGAGAAAATCGGGTAAAATGGTTTCAGTCAGTTTGTACCAGTTTATGTCATCCTACAAGGCCACGCTGAAACCACATATCATATGGACTCACATGGGTTCGCTGAGAGTGCAGCTGCATCCTCTGGTCATCTAAGCTTTTGGAAAGCCCCTGAACGGGAAGACTATGGCCTAATACTTCCTATATTACCTCTTAGTGAGAAATTAATATCCCCTCTTAGTCAATGCTTAACTATCTGACTATTGATTACATGTCTAATCTATTTACTTAGTGATTAAGGGTGTATTTATTAAAAGTATCCTGTCCAGAGAGGGAGAGAGGGAGAGAGAGAGAGAGAGAGAGAGAGAGAGAGAGAGAGAGAGAAGAGAGAGAGAAGTTTTGTTAGTTGGTTTTAGTTTTCAGATGTTCCTCATTGACCAAAAGAGCAGTTTCTGGATTGGTCTGACTGATAAAGATACAGAAAACACATGGAAGTGGGTGGACGGCCAACCGCTGACTGATAAGTACGTCAAGGTACAAAAAAATGTTGCTGTAGTCAATATTATATATAATTTTTAAAATTTCTGTGCATTATCTCACTGTATTCCATTTATATTAAGGAAAACTACCATTTTCTCTGAGAGTTTATGAAGCTGTTCTTGTATAGAACTGACACTGTTTGTATAGAGTAAAGATCACAGAAGCTGCTGTGAACTGGTTTAAATAAACATGTGATGATTACAATTATTGCTGTGTCTGATTATCAGATTCTGGAGGAGCGGTGAACCCAACAATTTTGGTGACCATGAGGACTGTGCTATTTTCACCACTGCAGTCAAACACAATCAGCAAACATGGAATGATTTTTCCTGCTCAGGGACAGAAAACTGGATGTGTGGATTCAATCTGACAAACTTCCACCTGAATACTTCAACTAAACACCTTTAGATTTCCACTGCTAATCTGTAGAAAGTGATATAGAGATCTTTTAGAATGTAGAGAATACATGTTAGCAATGAGAATTTCTGAAAATCTGGAGTAATAGACCTCATGCCTCATTCTGTAGACTGTGTCTTTTCCATATGAAGAACTCTGGGTCTAAGCAGAGTTTACTGCAATGAAATTTTTGGAATTTGCCTCATGCACGCTGAAAAGATGTCGCATGGAAGTAAATTTTTCAGTTTTACTTAAACATTGTTAAATACTAACTCCAGCTACTCAGACTGTGTTCTTCTACTGCCAAAGCACATTTGAAAATGCTTATAGCTTTTAATGGGGTATTTTGGTGAGGTTGCCAGTCAGATAAAGACTATTCAGTGTGCAGCACTGCAGTGGTAGTCGTATTTCGGCACCTTAATGACCTTGTTGTTTAAAGGACACAGTGACATTCAGAGGGAAAATGTCCATACGGCCAAATGTATCGACTCTGAAACATCACAATAACAGCAGTTTTCAAATATGTCATTCATTTTTCCCATGGAGAAAAACTGCCTGGACCCAAGAAATACAGAACTGACACTGACAACAGAATGACCACACAAGTTCAGAGCTGTGTTTTGGGCTAAATGTGAGTGGACACCTAGACTTATGAAAGGTTGCAACAAACTGACTGTGATGTTTCTAAACCAATCCAACACCTTGTGAAGGCAGAGCTAAAACTAGCGATGGTGAGCTCATCCACATTGTCTGACAGGGAACAGGCCTATTATTCGGCACATAGATTTAAATAGCCTGAGAACTACAGTCCAAACTGATCAAGTGTTTAAGTTGTAAATAGACTCATAGCATAGTGGATGAATTCTGTGTGCACATTTAGACCTTTTTATTCGAAAAATAAAACTGTACTGAGTTCTCCTCACAGCTCTACAGCAGAACCTCCACTGTGATCTACAGAACTCCACAATGATCATGTACGTTACTACAAAGCTACTTCTACTCACTTTGTACTGTTTGAACCTTTGCAAGAAATAGTTTTTCAGCTTTTTTTTTGACAACTAGTGAAGCTAATTGTTATACACTGTAATAGAGTTTGCAATATAATCTCAATATCTTTCCTCTGCCTCATTCTCATTAAATGTTCTTTACATGTAGTGATTTGAAAAGGATGTGATGCAACTAAAGAATGATACTAACAAAAAGGCTATGCTAGTTGCTAAGGTGTTGCTGGACAATTGCTATGCTATCCCAGATGGTTGCTAAGGTGTTGTGAGGCTGTTACTATGACATGCCAGGTGACAGTAACAGCACTCACAGAAAGAAAATTACATTAAATGATCTTAAAAATTGCAACTGAATAAATATTCTTTCCCAATTTGACTAAGTAGGCCTGTGATCAATCTGCAGGCCTGCCTGAGGCTACACCCTTGGTGATGGGTTCCCCAGGAGTGACTTTAGGAAGCCCTGGTTTAAGGCACTACAAGAACTGGTCTTAAGTAAAGGAGACTATGTTGTACTGTTTACACTAGAGGTCACTGTTGCACTACATTATTATTGTGACCACTGTAGTCGTGTCATCATTTTGTAGTCGGTGCCATGTTCTTATGCCCATATTAGGAACTCCAGGTCTAAGCTTCATTTCTCTATGGGCAGAATCAATAGGGTTTTCGAAAAATCGCCTCTATCGCACCCTGTGTTACAGAAAAATGTTCAGAACCCGATACGTTTTGTCCTGTGATCGTTCTTCCCCTGAATATCACTGGATCCTGTGAATTACGAGGTCATTAAAGAGTTGAAATATGAATATTGCTACATGTAAGCTAAAGCTGGCAGCCTCCTTAAGCAGGTTTTGGCAGTGAACATTTCCATGTTCAGACTGAGGGCAGATGAACAGAAGTCCGAACAAAATCAGCAGGTTTCCCTGCAGTTCTCTGTTCTTCATCTGATGCTCACTGAAACGTGATAGATCTGTCCATTTAGCTTGATTTGAGAAGATCTACAAACGTACCTGCACTCAGGCTAATCCAGCACAGACTCAGCTTAAAATCACTGCTCACCGCTGATAAACTGATTTAGGCTCTCAGGATATCCTGATTATTATTTTAATGCTGGTAACATCTTTCTGAGGACATTTTCTCAGGACATTCGCCAGCTTTTTGCCCGACTCTTCCCGTTCCACCTTAAATGGTGCAGCAGTATGAACTAACCGAACTAACAGATCAGTATTCTGTCTTGTTTACTAATGTTTGTGATGCCTACTCACAGCCACTGCACCATTTAAGGTGGAACAGGAATATTCAAACAAGAAGCTGCAAAAAAAAGCAGCTAAATTCAGCCTCATAGTTTTAACACGGGTAGTATTTTTGATAATGAGATTTAGCCTATAAAAATATCCCACACAGAGGTATTTATACAAAGATTACCATAAACTGTTGAAATACAACTTCATAAATCTTCCACAGTTTGGCAGAAAAGACTTTATTTACATAATGCCATGTTACATAATGTTTCAAGTACACTAAACAAATGTGACATTTCAGCAAATAAAAATGTTAAACAAAAATAAAAGCCATTGGATGAAGCATAATTATTATATTCAGTAGCATATCCTAAATATCACAGTTACTGTAGCACCCAAATTTCCCCTTGAAGATCAATAAAGTACATCTATCTATCTATCTATCTATCTATCTATCAACACTACTAGTCAAAAGTTTAGATACACCCCAATGAATGTTTATCATAATCTTGAAGATATTTTGATGTACAGGCTTGTGTTTAAATGCTTGAAACAGTGTGAGCTAAACAAGTAAAGTGCAGGTCAAGCCTATGTAAGAATTTCTTTGTAAAATGTAAACATTTTAAATGATTGTTTTCTTAATGTAAGGCCCTCTAACATGAGTTAGCAGCCAACACTGTCTCTGCATATGTGGCACACCTTCAGTTCTCATAAAGCTGCCTGAAGGAAGGCCAAGACTGCATAAAGTTGACAATAAGGCAAAATTGGCTTCTTTTAAGAATCTAAAACATATATTTTAAATGATTACTGCATAATTCCATATCTGTTATTTCAAAGTTTGATATCTTCACTTCTCTTATACAAATAGGACAAAAGGAGGCCTAAAATAAGAAAAACCCTCTGTATGTGGGTGTATCTACTGAAGTCTTCTGAAATATGGCTGTGTGGATTCACAGATCCAGCCTGCTGTATAAGAGCAGGGAATGTCATTCCATGCCTTCAGTGTCTGAGTAGCGGCAGAGAAAACAGCGCAGTCTTCATTTCCATTAGCGTCATTGGGTTCACCATTCCTCCAGAATCTGGGATTAACACACAGCAGGCAGCAGACAAATCTAATTCTGTATCAGCCTTATGATATTTACATGTTTATTGTGTTGACTGTTTCTAGTCTGTTAGTCCACAATGTACAGTAGTGTGCAAAAGTTTGAACCCCCTCATCAAATGATATGTTTTGTTGATATAAGTGGAAATTATTTCCCACAGGGAAATTAAAAATGGCATTTTTATATATTTAACATTTTTTATATAAAATGTGCCATAACATTTGTACAGGCCACATTTTATTACTGAACTGAAGGCCTGACATGTCAGATGAACTACTTCCACAATTAGGCACTAAGGGTGGAATCACCTAATCGCGTTTTGATTGTCAGTACATGGAACCTATTTTGTGAGAAAAACATCACTGTGGGCCTTCTGGAAGTTCTAAATGTGACAGTGACTAAGCACAACTGGTAGCCTGATCACTGAGATTCAGTCAGATGTTTGAGATGGAAAAAAGCAGTGACAGGTTTATGCTAGAGCTCTTTACTCGTGAAATCTATGTTAATGTGTTACAAGCATCAAATGTCTGTGTTCAGTCTAGAATGGCCAAAAAAGGTTCTTTTGATTCGCAGTTAGCATAGTGAGAACACACTACAAGAGTCCCACAGGTGTGCTAGCAGAAATGATCGTAGAAGTGTTTTTTTTTTTGTTTGTTTTTTTTGGCCTACTGAAGGCGTAGCTCACAGTTTTCCACTGGTAATTTTGTGTTCATGTTTATCTGGTCTGTATTGCTTTCAATGTAAACAAACATGAAGACATTATTAAAGTTTGAACTAATTAATAAAGCAAAGGCTGTAATATTGGTCTGAGGTCACTGTTTATGTTTGAAAGAACAAGCTATGAAAAAATGATGATGAAGGAACAATAATACTTTTTTTTTTTTTCACTCACGCAGTGGTCAGTGGTGACCCGTCAATCCACTTCCACTGTCCTTCTGTGTCTGCATCACTCAGACCAATCCAGACATATTTGTTTTCCTTCTTAATGAACTCCTAGAGGAGAACAGAGTGTGATTAGAATAAGGAGACCTCTATCAGAGTTCAGTTCTTCTCTCTCCTCACCTGTTCCTCTCTGCTGTTTATGATCACCAGATCTGCTCCTCTTTTTAAGCAGTCCTGCCTGGCTGCACTCCAGCTCTTCTCCTCATTTAACAAGTAGTAATAGCTGTTTCCATGTTTTTTCCACCCTTCTAGAAATAACCTCTCTAATAGAAGAGAAAAAAAAAAGTATTTTAGTAGTGCAAATAACAATTTATGGCTGTGACAGAAAAGGATTCCAGCCCCTCACTAGTATCATGATATATATGGGTGGAATGTTTAGTTTACTGAATAATGGTACACAAGAAAGTAAACGTGAGGTTTTGGCTTTCTTAGGAGAATATCTATGTGTGCATAATTATTGGGCAACTATTAGTGTGCAGAATTATTATGGAACTAAATGACAAACGAAAATCTTCCCATCACACTTGTTTATTTTCAACTCAAAATTTACCAATTTTACAACATTTCTGACATTTAAAAAGAAAATTCAGTGACCAATAGAGCCACTCTTCTTTTCAATAACGGTCATAAGCCTTCCATTCATTGAGTCTGTCAGTTTCTTAATCTTTTGACGATCAACTTATACAACACCATATACAACACATCCTACCTCAATCTGAAGAACCTTTTCCTATTGCAAAGAACCATTTAAGCATGAAATCGTTCTATATAAAACTTCTAAACAGAACCATTCCCTTTACCACAGAACCCTTGAAGAACCATCTTTTTAGACATATACTGTATGTCACCAGGCTTTGCTATTTTCCCTCTTTCAAAAGAACCTATGAAAGAGTTTCTAGGATCATGGTAAGGGTTATGAGGTCACTAAGGGTCAAATTAAACTCATTCCTTCTCATTCTTCTTCACTGACATGTACAACTAGACTGTATTTTAGTAAGGGGATCTATTTGAAGGAAGCATGTCTATGTACACAATTTCAGTGGAGGAAATTTCAGTAAGGGCACGTAGGACCCTGGACTTTGAACATCGAGCTGTTTCTTGGACATTTCATTGTGCAAATAAAGGGCCAAAGAGGATATAGGAAACCCACAGAACATGATCATAGAGGCCTAAAATACAAATGGGGATCCATTTCTGTCACAGCCTAAGTGTGGTGCTTAACAAGCTTTTTTAACAAATTTTAAACAAACTTTAATCAGAAGGTTTTGCAGCTGCTTATTCTCACCGTAATCTGAAAGATTTCTCTGAAGTGCATCTCTTTCCCTGGTCAGGACTTCATAGCTGCTCTGTAGCTTCTTTCTCTCTAATGTCAGGTTGCTGTTAGCGTCCAGTAGCTGGTCTCTCTCCATAGTCATGTTGTTATACCTGCTCTGTAACTGCTCTCTCACTGCTTTATGTTTTATACTCAGGCCCATAATAACAAAAAGGAGTAGAACACACAGCAGCCCCAGACACACTGCAGCTGGCCTACCAGAGCGCACCTGCTTCCCCTGAGAAACAGCCTGAGAACCTGGAAGAGTTAGAATAGCAACTTAGCACTGCTTTTTCTCTGTGATATTTCAGTATTGTGTAAGCTTTAATGGGGAACTGCTATCATGTTTTTAAAGTAGATGCATAACTGTAGCTACTTCCTCCTTTTGAACTTCCCTATTCTGGAAAAATAAGAGTTAGTAGAACTTATTATATATATATAAAATATATATATATTATATATATATATATATATATATATTGGTTTAATATCATGAGATCAGATGGCTTAAAAACAGAATATATATATATATATATATATATATATATATATATATATTTATATATATATATTCTGTTTTTAAGCCATCCGATCTCATGATATTAAACCAATTTCTTTTCAGTTGTTTGCTTTCCATTGTAGCTCTGGGGAGGGGGGGGGGATCTATAGGTTTTTATTTTTCTAGGACTGTCAATTTTAATGCATGAATAATGCCAGATAACATTTATAATTGATTAGTAATGCTATTATTGCTTATATGTATTAATAATACATTAATAATGCTTTAATAACGTTTAATAACACCTGAAAAAATGTTAAAACCACTATTTGACTAGTTTGACCCCTAAAACAATTTGCTATAGTGCAGGCTGAAGCCCAGCTGCTCTTGTGAAAGTAATAAACACTTTCTGATTAAGCTCATTTTTAACCACTCATGTAGGTTATAACAAAATGCAATTCTTTTTAGGTAAAATGAAAGCTTTCCTTCTTGTGAAATCAAAACTGTGATTAATTGTGATTACACAAAATAATGCACAGTTCATTTTGTTTAATCATTTCACAGCCCTTTTTGTTCAATTTTAAGTTGATGTTCAAGTGAACACTTCTGTCATTTGCATTATAACAATAATTATATAAGTTGATGATTACCTGGTTTCTGTGCTGAAGTGTTGAGGTAGACATTGTTATTGACTTTAGTCTGACTGGCACTCTTCTCAGTATCTTCAATGTTCATGTAGATGCTCTCAGAATCACTTCCAGTGTCCTCCATGGTGATGAGTGTTGGAGACAGAATGGAAACTACTATCCATCTGCAAGTCACTTGTAGTTGTGGCTGTATCATGTGATGCTCCTTCCTCTACCTTATATTCAATGCAGGGCACAAAATATTGTCTACAGTGCTGGCGCATTCATTTCAATCTTAATCTTAGTCATGACACTGTGGTCAGTATTACAGTAAAATATCGTTTCAGGTGGGATGTCATATATATCCAGGCAGCAGAATAATAGATTACTGTAATAAATGAGTCCCATAAAGTTACTTTCAATTTTCAACTTAAAGTAAAACTGTGCTAAGAAGTGAAACTTTTACTAACCTGCAAAATCAGAAGTGTCAACAGTCAGTAAATGAAAGTGTGGTTAAGATATTCTGAGGAAAAGGAAAGAGTTTGTCTGCAAAGTGGCCAGTGAGTGCTTGGTGCCTTTTGCCACATTACTAGGCTTGCTAAAGAAACAGCCTGAAAGCTATGTTTAACTCATCAGGAGTGGAAAATCAGGGAAATTCCACTGATATTTTAAAAAATGTCTGCATCATGAGTAAACAAAAGTGGCTTGACGTGAAAGGGTCCATTGTAAATAAGCAACTGTTGCTAATAGGAACCAGAGGCTGTGATGTCTGCAACACAGATAAGCATTTATTATCCAAAACCACCAATGAACCTACACGTGTCCTCTGGGTTTTTATATGTAATGTTGGTAAAACGGTAAAACAGTGATAAATCCACAGTATTCTTTAGTACTAGTTTGCTTTACAATACCCTCTATGTACATTTTAAACCAAAAGCTTTTCATAAAACCATCGTAAAACAACACATTAGTCATCAAACGACAGATTTATATCCATTTTAGGATATAAATTAAATTAGCTTGTAAATTAGCTTTCAGAGCCATGTTCATATCATGACTCAGTTTCTCTAGAATTTCACATAAAACAACCCAGAATATATTTTCACTCAGAAAATCAAAAAGAATGTACTTTGATCTATCTATCTATGTAACTGTCCATCAACCCTGTTTGTTAGCCCCCTTTTACCCTGTTCTTCAGTGGTCAGCACCCCCATGGACCCCCTAACAGAGCAGGTACTACTTGGGTGGGGGATCATTCTCAGCACTGCAGTAACACTGACGTGGTGGTGGTGTGTTAGTGTGTGTTGTGCTGGTACGAGTGGATCAGACACAGCAGTGCTGCTGCAGGTTTTAGACACTGTGTCCACTCACTGTCCACTCTATTAGACACTCCTACCTTGTCAGTACACCTTGTAGATGTAAAGTCAGAGACGACAGCTCATCTGCTGCTGCACAGTTTGTGTTGGTCATCCTCTAATCCATCATCAGTGGTCACAGGACGCTGTTGGCTGGATATTTTTGGTTGGTGGACTATTCTCAGTCCCAGTGACACTGAGGTGTTTAAAAACTCCAGCAGCACTGCTGTGTCTGATCCACTCAGACCAGCGCAACACATATTAACACACTATCACCACGTCAGTGTTGAGAATGATCCACCACCTGAAAAGTACCTGCTCTGTGAGGGTCCATGGGGGTCCTGACCACTGAAGAACAGGGTAAAAGGGAGCTAACAAAGTATGCAGAGAAACAGATGGACTACAGTCTGTAACTGTAGAACTACAAAGTGCACCTATATAGTAAGTGGAGCTGATAAAATGAACAATGAGCGTAGAAACAAGGAGGTGGTCATAATGTTATGCCTGATCAGTGTAGGTATGTACATATGTATGTATACACTATATGAACAAAAGTATTGGGACACCCCCTCCAAGGTTAAGCACATAGCTTTGCAGTCTCGATAGACAAACACTTACAGTAGAATGGGTGGTAATGATGAGCTCAGAGACTTTAAACATGGCACTGTCATAAGATGCCACCTCAGCAACAAATCAGTTTGTGGAATTTCTGTCCTGCTAGATCTGCCACTGTCAACTGTAAGTGCTAATACACTGGACTCTGAAGCAGTGGAAGCGTATTCTGTGGAGAGATGATTCACACTTCTCTATCTGGCAGTCTGATGGACGAGTCTGGGTTTGGTGAATACCTGCCTGGTTGCACTGTGCCAACTGTAAAGTTTGGTGGAGGAGGGCTAATGCTATGGGGTTGTTTTTCAGGGTTTGGCCTGAAACCCTTAGTTCGAGTAAAGGGAAATCTTAATGCTTCAGCATAACAAGGCATTTTGGACAATTGTACATTTCCAACTTTGGGGAAGACCCTTTTCTGTTCCAGCACGACTTTGCCCCAGTGCGTAAAGCAAGGTCCATAAAGGCATGGCTGGAAGGTTAGTTTGGTGTGGAAGAACTTAACTGTCCTGCACAGAGCCCTGACCTCAACTCTATCAAACACATTTGGGATGAACTAGAACGAAGATTGCAAGTCAGGACCTGCTGTCCAACATCAGTGTCTGACCTCACAAATGCTCTTCTGGATGAATGAGCAAACATTCCAACAGACACACGCCAAAATCTTGTAGAAAGCTTCCCAGAAGAATGGAAGCTGTTACAGCTGGAAAGCTGGGGGACCAACTACACAGCAATGCCTGTGAATTTAGAATGGGATATCTTAAAAGCTCCTGTAGGAGTAAAGTGTAGGTGTCCCAATACTTTTGTCCATTTAATGTAGGTGAAACATCTGGAGCAAATTTAAGTAGTTTTACTGTAGAATAGTACAATCTATGTAGGACTTTAAACTGAATTAAACAGTTTTCAGCATTAACAGAGCAAGTGTGAATGTATTCAAGACAGTCATCCCAAACATCATTAGATATTTTCACACCTAATTCTTCTTCCCATGCATTTTTAATTGTCTCCATAGGGAGCGGTTTAAAACTCTGAAAGACACTGTACAGATAAGAAATCACACCACTTATTACTATGCCCAGTTTCACACATTGGTCAGGACTATTTCTTCTGCAGCTGCTGGAAGGAGGCAAAGGTTCCATCCAAATATAATTCAACAACAGTATGTATCCCCAGGTTCTTCCACATGACAAATGCACCATCCAAATTTATAGGAGAAAATGAAGGGTTTGCTGCAATGGGCGACATTCTCCTGAATCTAAAGTCTGTATGTATTGCATCATGAATGGTAGGATTTCTTTTATACATAAATGTACTAATAACTGTAGGAGACAAAAGTACTGCTTCTAGTGAGCATGGCAAGTAATCCTCTCTTTCAAACTTCAACCAGTCTGCGTGCTCAGAAGAGTTCTTAAGAATCTGAGCAATGTTTCTCACATTTGCAGCCCAATAATAGCAAAGAAAATTTGGAAGGCCCAACCCTGCCTTTAGTTCAGGTTTACAGAGATGCTGTTTATTAATTCTGCCTTGTAGCCCCAAATAAAGCGGATTATGATAGAATCCAATTTTGTAAAGAATGATTAAGGGGAAAAAAAGAGATGTTCTCTGTGAGGTACAACAGCTGTGGGAGAAATATCATCTTCACATCATTAACTCTACCCAGCAAAGAGATAGGCAGTGTTTTCCGAAGCTGAATGTTAAATTAAGTTTGGCCAGCAGGCGGCAGCAATTAGCTCGAAACATGGAAGAGTACTTCTTTGTTACCTCAATTTCTTGTGTGGCCAATGGTGGGTGAAGGGTTCCCGCTGAACCCATTTTCCTGAGCAGTCAAGTTCAAGGGCAGCTCTCCAAGGTGCTGACAGGGGCTGTCAAAGTTCAGCACCTCATGTGGTGGACAGCTGGCAGCCGTATGGCCCCTGTCGCTTATAACGACAGCTGGGTTTGCTCACCTTGACTGAGCTGGCCCCATAAAAAGGCCATCAGAGGATCCATTGAATGAGTGGCTCCCGTCCTGACTACTGATGTTGAACCTAATGCCTGGTTGCATTTGTCTTCTCTCTCTCTCTCTCTATCTCTCTCTCTCAATTTACAGGGGACCAAACTGAACCCTGCTCACTGGATCGACTTAACTGGTTTATTTACTCCCCGCACATTTAAGCCTGAAAAGGTTAGAGCCATCCTCTTCCTGTTAGACATCTCAGTATAATTTTGCAAAGATATTGCAAATCAGATGTGACATATGCTCAAGCCATCTAATCGGAAAGAAATATCCATGACAAAATGTCAGGGCACTCACCCTAAACCTTAACCACAGCTAGAGAGAAGTCCCAAAAGGTCTGGATAGGCTGGTCACTGAACTGTAGATTTCTCTTTGCAACAATCTTGCACATGATATTTTCCCAAACGTAGCAATTTATATGGCAATTTAAGTTCTCCCTGCTCTACGCTCAGTCAGGAAGACTGACTCTACTCGAGGCTCAAGGAGACAGGGAGTCAATCAAGACACAGAATGATATGCACCTAACTCTGGTTTATTGACACACCTTGGGTAGCATTTATACATCAGTTGTCACACAGTGCTACTTCATATTATTCAGGTCTCCCTAACCTGTGGACTTTTTCATCCTATCTTCCATTTTCCTCTTTCCATATGGAGCACATTTGCTCACTACCTCTCTTTCTAACCACTTCCCTATATGTTAAGTTCAAAAGGACATGGGTGTCAAAAGGGCATGGACAACTTGTTCATAACACCCATTTGAGCCTGATCGAGAAAAGGCAGCTCCTCTAAACCGACACATTTCGGCCAGCCTCCATCCTTTCTTGTCCTCCCGCAATCCTCAGGTTTTGCCTCTTCAAGCAACCCTCCAAGTCACTGCATTTCTCTGCTAGGTTGGTTACTTCAGTCATTAGAGTTTTCAGCTGAGCCTGCAGGGCAGAGACAGCATCTGAAGCGGCTGTCCCAGAGTGCTCGACCTGTTCTGAAGTTTTATGGTAACCACTGATGGCGACCTGTAGCGCATCGATTCTCACCGTAATTTGTCCTTCCAACACTGCAATCTCCCCTGTCAAAGATTCGGTCATTTCTCTGATTTTTGCGTCAATTTTGGCACCAGGTCATTGGCTTGTTGTTGCGCGCTCTCCTCATTGTTGGCGACGATGAAGATAATATCATTTTTTTTCTACTACGTCCTACACTGTGTAGAATCCATACAGGATGACCCACTGCTGTGTACTTTACTTGGTTCCCCTGTATTAATTAACTAGACACCTGTACATCGTTCCAATGAAACTGAAGCAGCAATTTGTTCCTGTGTTCTTACAATTTGTCCTACCTATCATAGACATGCATACATAATTAGTATAGCATGATAACTCAGTTTTCCTAATGTTTTATTGTGATTTTAATGTTAATGCAGCCTCTTTTGAAGTATATTACACACACACACACACACACACACACACACACACACACACACATTTTCTAAGCTGCTTATCCTTGTGGGTCACGGGGAGAGCCTATCCCAGCAGACATTGGGCAGAAGGCAGGATACACCCTGGACAGGTAGTATATTATACAGACTTAGCTAAATGTTATTGTTACAGGTCCCAGGCTGGTCTCAGTTTATTTAAACAACTCTCTTTATAAAAATATCTCTGCCTGTTTTTCTTTTGTTCTTTGCTCAGCAAACATCACTGTTCATTACAGAACATATCAGATATGTTAACATAGGCTAAACATGTCCCTATCAGAGGGAGATGGCTGCATACTACAGTCCCATTTAGGCATCCTAGGTTTGAAGGAGACAATATTCTTAAAATACACCAGGATGTAAATGTGCTAAAAGAATTGCTAAAGCTTGTATATGTAGTCTATAACTGTGCATCCATCACATATCATGTACCAAAGACAGAGATACAGACCAGGCTCACTTAATAACTGTGTTACATTGAACTCAAAAAGAAAAACATGCTCAAAGTGCTAAAAGCTGGTGCTATTAAATCTCTTAGAACACAAAAGTGTCACATTACACTTACCTTCAGATAAGATTATCCCTCCTACACATTTATGCTATAGATATGCACCACAGTAGGATATTTTGACAAGGTTGGACACTTTTCATATCACTCATACCAACTTCTGTTCTAGTCTGTCATGAACGTTGTTCCAGACTCTGTCTAAATGTGACAGCACCACCTGGTGTTCACTGTTTACAACCCTGCTTCCCCTAACATGGCCACCACTATCCTTGTCAATGTGCCAAAGAGTTCTAAAGAGTAAAATTTGTTAATATATTTGTTTATGGATCTTGTGTATTAAAAACAGTGTACTAAGTCTGTGCTTTGAGAACTCTGGCATTGCCATCCACTGCTGGCCACACCACAGGAGAAATGCAGCCTGCTGTGCATTTAGTATACAGCAAAACTCAAAGCAGATAATATGAGACACAGTAAAGTAAGTCATTAAATTCTGTGCTCACATTTTCTCTTTCTCCACTCTTCTTGACTTTAGCACTCAGTAAATGCACATCAGCCATTTCTTCTACAGCAGTACGTGATTTGATAAAGCAATAATCCACCGGTAGCTGTGCATTACTGTGATTTTGCCATTCTCCTTCCCTGTGATAAAACTGCAGGAACACACAGCCTCAAGTGGCTTATTGCTTTTATAAAACGGTGGCATAAAATATGATAAAATACACAATTTTTTACACAATTTACACAACGTAAACAAGCATTCCGTCAAGAAATCTAGTTCTTTCAGAGTATGGTGCCATTGCCAAGCACCCATGGGCCGCTGAATGAGGAGAACGTTCAGTTGCCCATCGCTGTATACTGCAGTCATTTCATGATTTTTTAAGTTTTTGTCATATAGAAATGAACATATGATAACGCAGCACTGTTTAATGCTAAAACTTTTGCTTTATAAGTACTTTAGTTGCCAAATTATCACCACAAGTCTTATTTAGCACCAATCCAGCAGTGCCCCTCCTCTCACGCTGGGGCTGAATCTCAAATAGCTCCCTGCTCCCTTCATAGTGCACTATATAGGAATTTAAATACTGGATCCTGCAGCCCAACAGTGCAAAATATAACTAAGAAATAGTCATTTAGCCCTCAGACACATTCATACTCAATAAATGAGGCACTATTTGGCTGTAGAAGCTAGAATTTCTAAACTTTCATAGCACACTATTTAGGGAGTATGGAGCCATTTGAGATTCAGCCTGGGTTTGACGCTACTTCTGACTGAAACATGAACATTCAAGTGACATTTTTAGACTTTTATTCTGCCCTTTTACAGCTAATCATATTGGAAGTACTTTAATTCAACTGTGATATTAATGATGGAGTTGTTTAGGCTGTTTTTAGCTAGGTGACCAGCCTTGTTCTAGTTAAGAACCTAAGTTGGCAGCTCCTCAGTATAAACGAAAAATGGATTCTTGCTTCATCAGTACACTCGGTCCTCAATGCGAGCAGCATGAGAGTCAAAGATTATTCCATTAACAGCACAAGGGTTGTTTTGTGCCGTGGCGTACTTACACAAAATTCAGTTGTTGTGAGGCGGTCATAGGTGTGCGTATGTTGTGGATTTTACAACAGCTTCAAACGCGGCTCAACCAATCAGAATGTAGAATTAAATCCTTATAAAATTGATGTGGCTGGCATATACAGAGCTTATACCATATACACCCTATTAGAAGTGCTCATGTTTTATTATCACCGAACACTGAATCAGTGGATTTTATTCATTGATCAACAGGAACAGACTCTTTCATGTCAAAGCAAAAACACATCTCTGCAAAGTGATTTCAATTATTAAAAAAATATAAAACACAAAGGGCCAGATTCATATCATTAGATTTATAACGCTGTTAAGAGTAAATCTGTAAATCTGTCATACGTTTGAGTTCATTTTACTGCAAGCAGTTTTCACTTTTAATCCTATTTTTCAATTTACACATCAGATTTATGACAGGAAACTAATGAAAAGTAAATGGCTGGGAAGAGTCCCGTCTGCAGTCAGACACCTCCCCACACTTCTTCCACTTTGGCCGTCGAGTCTTTCCAAGTCATGAGGCTCAAGTCCAAGTCATTTGTGTCGTAAGTCTTTTTGATTTTGTTGTGTCGCAAGTCATCAACACTTCTCCTTTTTAACGCTGTGGTATTTTGACCTGTGTCCTGGCAAGAGCCAATCAAAATCCACATGTAAATGACATCATACTCATTAAAGAGCCACACCCAGAGTAAAAATCCGCTGTAATTCAATGTTCTATGATAAAGACATAAAAAACTTCTGAATATGTCTGCATTAAAATTATAATGGTATTCAGTTTTAAGCTAAAAGCAACATAAGGCTTAAACTACTAATGTCTCTGTATAGACTGGCAGTGTAGTTTCACAGATCCAGCCTGCCTTATAACAACAGGGCATGTCATTCCATGTCCTCATTGTAAAAGAACTCTGTTTGGAAACAGCACAGTCCTCCCCTTCGTGAAAATCGTTGGGTTCACCCTCCACCCAGAATCTGAAGTTAACACACAGCATAAAGCACACGTTTAGTCTAATATAAATGAGGTGTTTTAGTAGAAAATGCAAAAGTAAACTGGCATTGTGATTTGGTTTAATCTATTAAATTTACCTTCCACATGTTTAATTCAGGACATACTATATCCACATTCCACTGGAATACATTTGTAGTGTCATTAGTTCCTCGCTTAAAAAAAAATACTACAGAATAACTCACGTAGTGATCAGTGCTGATCCGTCCACCCACTCCCACTCTCCCTCTGTTTGTAGATCACTGAGACCAATCCAGACGTATTTGTTTTCCTTCTTAATAAAATCCTAGAGGAGAACAGAGTGTGATTAGAATAAAGAGATTTCTATCAGAGTTCAGTTCTTCTCTCTCTCTCCTCACCTGCTCCTCTCTGCTGTTTATGATCACCAGATCTGCTCCTCTCTCTCTGCAGTCCTGCCTGGCTTCTGCCCATGTCTTCCGCTTAGTAGAGATGTAGTAATAGCTGCTTCCAAATTTCTTCCAAGATGCCTTGTCTAGACAAAAAAAGTAGCAATGAAGATAATGTCTGTCTAGGTATGTGATGAAATTTAATTTTTTCTACTAATTATTGAGACTTATATTCACAAAGTAACATCGTCTTTATCCAAGTTAGCTTCTCACCATTCAAAATGTGCTTAGGATTCATTTTCTGGCCTCCCTCTTCAGTAAAGTTTTTATTTATCTTCTCTTTCTCCTCAGTCAGATTCTGGTAGCTGCTCTTTAGCTGGTCTCTTTCTTCAGTCAGGTTACTTATACTGGCTAAGAAGGCCTCTCTCTCTTCAGTGAAGTTTACACTCAAAGAAATGATGGTTTGGGACAGACTGTTCTTCTCCTCTTTAACATTACTATCTGCAAAAATATATGGTTTGTTTTATACACACACACACACACACACACACACACACACACACACACACACACACAAACACACATATATATATATATCATATATATATATATATATATATATATTCATATAATGATCTTCCCTGTTAGGTACAGAAATACTCACAGTACATATACAGCACTATGTTGGTGGTCAACAAGAGAACACACAGCAGCCCCACACACACCACAGCCAGTCTGGAGCTTCTGCTTCCTCTTATGTAATCTAATAAAAAGAACTCCAAATCACCATTAATTTTTATTTATTAATGTATTCAAGCTAATAAAGTTACTTGATTATTTAGCTTTCAAGGTGAATCCACAACACATGGCTAAGCATTGTATGTAGTATATGTCCCCAAGTATATGTTTCCTAATGTGTTAATGCAATATTACCTGCCTCCTTCATCCTTGTTATCCTCTTTGTCCTGGTTTCTTGAGCTCTAACAGCATCTTCTCTGTCATAAATCAGGCCTTTCATATCTATCTCACCCAGCTCTGTGCTGTTACCTCCTTTGTAGATTCTGTCTGCCATTGTATCAGCTTTACTTGCTTTCAGCAACTGGTAGCTGCACAGTGAGCTGTTTCTTTGATAACAGAAGTGTGCGATATATGCGATTCAGCGAAAGAGCAGAAACAGGGAACATACACAGGAAACAGAAATACACTGAAACAGTTTTAATTTCATATGAAGTGTGACCCCGAGGAACAGTTGGACACTCAATGAAAAAAAAAAACAATCACAGACTCGCAGGCCACCATGGGTGAAGCCTATTCCGGAGTAACTCACAAACACAAATAACTCTCTGATAGCTCCCCTCAAAGGAAGCTCTCTTAATTTTGGCATGTGGAAATCCAGTAGTGAGTTTAATTCCAGCCAAGCAGGCTTTTAGTCCAGTTGAGACAACTGAAAGTTGTGGATGTGAGGTTATCTGAGGGAAAAGGGATACTGTGCAACATGATGAAATACTGGAAATATTTCCAGCCTGTCCAGTACTTGAACACCATACTTTAGTATAAGGCAACTGCAAATAAGGGTGTTTTCACACTTGTCTTATGTTTTCACACTAGTCCACACCCAGGACTGATTTTGGGCTCACTGGAATTCAACCTCAGATGACTGATTTCATGAGGACCAGAGATCAGTTTTCTGGACCGTTCCTAGGCTTGAAAACTGCTCTCACACTTGACCAAACGTAACTCGCAGTGCAGGCAGTTCCGAGTCTGGTGAGAAAACACCCTAAGACTGTTATCTGGACTTGAATGAGGTGATAGAGTTGGCAGTTCAATGACTGATGCTCAATATAGCCGTTACTAACACCTTGCAATTTCAGTCTTAGAAACTGGTCTGGCTTTTCTGCTTTTCAAGTTTCAAGTAATCCCAAACATGTTCAGGCTTGTTGAGGTCTGGGCTATGGAGTGGTCAGTTGTCATTGTTCTGAGAACCAGTGGTGGATCTAGATAGTTTTATCAGGGTGGCCAGTTTACCAATATGCTTATCTGCGCTGAATGATTTTCTGTTTGGAAAACATTTATATTGTTCTGCATGGCAATTGCTGACTAAAGCTTGAATAGAGAAGTAACCAAATGAGTTGCTGTTTGTTTATTTTCATGTCACATTTTACTGATTGCCTTCTAAAAACGAAGATCCACAGTGACTTAGATTATATTGTCTTTCCCAAAACGTGTTCCAATTGTCAATCCATACATTCAGCCACTCGTTTAGCCCATAGAGTCTACCAAAAATCTCTTTTCCTCTTCGAAATGTTGGCAGAGGGCCAGAAACTACAACTCTGGCTGTTGTTTGTTCCTGTATGCTATGCAACAGCGTTGTAAATTGGTCTTTTAAAACTTTCCTCCTTCGATCTCGTGTGGTGTTCACTCCTGTATGCACAGTGACAGTACCAATATTCTTATGCTTATTCAAAGCAATGGGCAGTGTTTCTGTGATATCCATGACTCGAGCACCAGAGAAGCATCAAACAGATGCTTTACCTTTGGCTGGAGCCAGGTTCACGCATGATTGAGTCGCCGATTACTAAAATGCTGGTCGAGGGAGGAGCAGGGAAGGAGAGAGAGCCCAGTACTTCAAATCTGTTGCTGGTTGTGAGTTCAGGCTGAGGCGGTGGTGGGGATCCATGCCATCTTCTGTAATGCTGGCGTTCCCAGGCTCCACTTTCCACAGCCACGGGGGTTACCATGAGAGTCCCTGGTGTAAATTTCAGAGGTCTGGCCTGGTTCAAGTGACCTCTGCTCGGTGTGGAAGTTGCCAAGGTGGCGGACATGCCATTGCTTAGCTCACCACATTTTCCATGACCGTCCACAGGTCTGGGTAAATGCACAAACCACTCTATAACCCAGCACAGAATACCGCATATAACACGTGTGGCATTAATAATGTCCGTAACTTTACATAGTCTAGCCCCAGCCTATTTAGTTGATCTCTTGCACCCTTACTGCCCAGCCTGAATGCTTAGGTCCTCTGACACAGGTTGCCTAGCTGTCCTAATGTTGAACTTTGGAACACTGGCCCTCCCCATGTTTTGTTTTGCCCTCCCCAAGAGACAAAGACAAGGACTGCCCACACAGCATTGTACATGCAAGTGCAGTAAGAAAAAATTCAGGTGAAAGTAACCTTCCAAATATTCCTCTACCGAATATTCCTCGAAGTTGACAAGGCTGAACTCGGCTTCCTATTCGCATTTTCCAGTTCCACTTTAAATCGTACAGCAGTTCCATTCTGCGCCTGCACCTTCCATTCTGCCATTTAGGGTGGAACATGAAAATTAAAACAAGAGACTGGTGAAGAAGATGCTGACTTCAGCTTCATCGAGAGTTAAAAGGCATGAAAAGGAATGAGGAGGTTGCTCTGTTTCTGCTTGACAGATGGGTAGGTCAGAATGTTTTTTTTTTGCTAATGTTTGTGATAGCAAATGGTTAGCTTCACAGCAGCAATTATTGTGACAGTTTGCTATCCCACAACCGATCTAACATTAGTTACGTTACTTGTGTTCGCTCTAACATTATATCATGTTATATGACTGTACAATGTTTGGCTTTTATGGCTATGAAGATCTAAAACACAAGTTTGCTAGCTCAGGCTCCTTCACCTTGGCAATGTGCATCCTTGAATTTGAGGAGTGGAGCTTCTGAAGGAGCACTGAAGGGAGCGGTCTATCACCAGTTGTTCTCCACAATCACATACTGTGCCTGGCAATGACTCCTGCACTTCCACGGCCAGTAGTGGGTGGCTTCAATACTATCATAGCTAATAGCTTTGGAAAAAGTTTGTATTGGGAGGACATACTAGACACATTGTAAGTTGTTTTACGGTGGGAAGAATGGAAGAGTTAAACTGGCAGTAGGATGCATAGAAGTAGAGTGTGCCAGAGGTGCCAGACAAGATGGATGGATAGATACAATCAGAGGAATCATGAAAAGGCTATAAAGAAACCTAAAGACTCAAACAACTTTTCCTTCAAGTTTGCTTAGGGTCATAGGGCAAATAGCTGATTTTTGCAGAACCCAGTGAGGGGAATTTCACTAGAGGCAGATTTTAGGAAGAATCTTCTCCTTGACAGAGAAATATATTGCGTCAAACAGAATACAGAACACATGAAAAAAAATCAAGATACACTAACTTGAAGAATCTTTCAATATCCATCCATTTCCAATGCACTTCAAAATCACAGTCTGCTTGATCAACCCAAGATTGGGTTACTAATCCAAAAACAGTGCTGTAAAAAATAAAACATGAATGTTACCTCTCCTTGGGTCTCATGTTGGGCTGGACATTTCTTGCTGTCTGTTAAAGTGCATGTTTAAAATAAACCAGCATTTGCCTATCACTGATTCTTGAGATAAGGGACAAAATGTCTTACATCGAAAAGTCAACACATGCTTGGTCCACAATCATAAAAGCATACAGAAATGTAATTGAGACCTGCAGTGAGTGCACAGTCATCATTTATATTGATTTTTCAGAATCCCAGAAGTGTAAATATGCCTCTGAAGTTCAAGTCTGATATTTTGGCCAGAATTTCCCACAGTTGAATCTTTATACTGGAATGAATTACGCCAAGAATGGATGGAGCAATCTGGACACATATGGATCCAGTCCTAGAAGATATTTGGGCAAAATTTACCACTGTGCACTTTTGGTCAGATGGTCCAAGTTCACTGTAAAAAAATCATCCAGCTTTTAAACTTACTTAAACTTAAGTAAGTAACTAGTTTAACTTAAAATTGAGTTCATTGAACTTGCAATATTATCAGAAAAAGAACTTATTTCAAGTAAGCCCAGTTACTTTTTAATGTTTAAAGGTTGCACATTTTTGATAGTGTAAGCAGGAAGAAACAGGAAGAACTTCTTCCTCCTTTCAGCGGCACCACCCACACTTCAACAGTACCACATGGAATTATTTCTCAACATTCCATGGTGAGGGTGACCCAGATGGCCCTGGGGGATCAGTAAAAAGAACTGCAGACAAATTGGTTTTGCAGGGAAATGATGTGACGAATGGAAAAGAGTTCTTTGAAATGACCTCAAACCATCTGAAAGCTGTATCACATCGAAGAAGAAGACATGGACAGTATGACACTCAATGCTGCTCACATTCACCTAGATTCCTTCTCCCATTCCTCCTCTGTTTTCTTGGGGATTAATGACTAGCCTACTAAACCTCCTTCTCTAAACAAACTACAAGCTTTTGTGACCTGTAACTCATTCTCTTAACTGAAACTGAAGAGGGTTAATGGGCACTGAAGCCAGAGGATCTTCTTACACCCTTTTTCTGAAGTGAGAAACTGGCCTCATATATGGTTGTAATTATTTATATATATATATATATATATATATATATGCACACACATTATGGCCAGCCAAACAGGAAATATTTAAGCTGAAACTGTGGGCCATATATATATATATATATATATATATATATATATATATATATATATATATATATATATATATATATATATATATGTATGTATTGAATACTGGGATTAACAAATATGAACACTGCTGTTTTTAAAATGATCTTTGTTTATTCATTGAATGTTTGTGTATATACTGACAATTCACCAATGTGTAGACATGATAAATGTACACATGATTTATCAACCACTCTCAAGTTGTTCTATTCAAGAGATCACTGTGTATACATGCTGGCACACAGGGGCTGTAACACTTGAGGTGGGGCAACTGGTTTAGCCCCAAAATTACTATAAATATATCCTTGGATGTAACGTTAACATTAATAGTTTGAGAATTCTTGTGCTTATATGTGTAATTTATAACTGACTCAAAACGCTACCATCCCACTGGGAATTCTCCAGACTCTTTTGGATTCATCTGTCTGGAAAACCATGACTGATGACACTTGGGTTTTGCTCAAAGATGAGTCATTTCATTTGCTGTTTAGTTGGTAATGTGAGCTGAATAATAGGCCGTGTGTATGCAAATACTGAAAATACTCATGGAAAATAATAATAATATATAAATAATAAAAAAATAATAAATAATAAAAAAAATATGTTGCATGTTTTATTCCATAGATTTTGGTAGCAATGTATTATTTCACAGTTTAAAATAATACTACAAACTCTCTCACCCCCAAAAAATTCAGTGTTAGTTAATTACATCCCATCTTTCACCCCCCAAAAAAACATTTCTTCAATGTTTCTGTTCCC